TTCAACAGGATTGTAACTACCTCAACACCGGGAAGTCAATGGAACCAAGAAAAGAGCAAAAATGGAACAACCGCATTTCAGTCAGAAAAGATTCCCACGCAGGTCAGCCTGTCAGAGCATCAGAGCAGGCAGGATGGGACAGTGGCTGACCCAGGTTCCATCTCCAACAACTCACGGGGTCTCCTGAGTCCCGCCAGGCAGGAGGGATCCCTGAGCACTGAGTCGGGACTCAGGCCTGAGCACCACCAAGTGTGACCCAAATAAACAAAAAGAGGCTGTCACACACGAGAACCTCTCAGTGCCTGAACTGCAAACCAGAATGCCCAAAGAGAAGTGCCTGCCACAAAGGCGGGGGGTGGGCAGGAGAGAAACGGGGCACATTGGTGGTGGGGAGATGTTGAAGGGACCGGTGAAGAGATGGTGTTGAAATGGTGTATGATGGAAACCCAATCATGGACAACTTTGTAACTGTATATCTCATGGTGATTTAATTTAAAAAATAAAAAAGGATTTTTTGGGGGGACAGGGTCATACCTGGCGATGCACAGGGGTTACTCCTGGCTCATGCACTCAGGAATTACTCCTGGCGGTGCTCGGGGTACCCTATGGGATGCTGGGAATTGGACCCGGGCTGGCCGCCTGCAAGGCAAACGCCCTACCTGCTGTGTTATCACTCCAGCCCCCAAAGTTTTTGTTTCTTAAAAAGAGAAAGGATGTCCTATGTTGCTCTCTTCTGGAAACATCCTGACCCTGCGCCAGGCTGTCTTCACAGGGGGAACCTGGGGGGGGGGGGCGGGTTGAGTTTTCCTCCCTGCCACAGCAGAACCCCAGCAACTGAAGACCTCCAGAACCCAACCACAGTCATTCTCAAGGCCACTCTCCACAGGCTCGGACGAACCTCACCAATGAGGGGACCTGCAGAAGAACCCAGATATGCGGGACCTGTGACTGAGCTCTCCAAGCTTGCTCAGAACAGGACTGGCCTCCTCCCCCCAGCTCCCAGTTTTCCAGTAGCTTGGCAGTCACACCCACGAACTGCCCCCTGGCACCATATAATCTCATCATCAGCCAAGAAGAGAGCTACATAGGCCTTGCCCACGAGTGAATCTGCTCTGTAATCACATTCTAAATTTTAGAAATCCTGAAGCATATGGCCGCATTCGGAGCCATGCGACTACTCATACTCTAGCCTTCTGATGTACCCAAAGCAGCACACATTTGTTTGGGTTTAACATACATGCTTGGAATCTCTTATTCAAGGGCTTAAATGGCTCCAGGATGAAATACAACAATCTTCTCACACTTTGCTCTTATGGTGGTGGGAAGGTTCCTGATGGTGGGATTGGTGTTTGAATATTAAATGTAATGAATTATTGCGAACAACTATATAAAAATAAAATCGGGCTGGAGCAACAGCACAATGGGTAGTGGGTAGGGTGTTTGCCTTGCACGCGGCCGACCCGGGTTTGATTCCCAGCATCCCATATGGTCCCCTGAGCACCGCGATGGGTAATTCCTCAGTGCAGAGCCAGAAGTAACCCCTGTGCATTGCCGGGTCTGACCCAAAAAGCAAAAAAAAAAAAAAGAGAGAGAGAGAGAGAGAGAGAAGAGAGAGAGGGAGAGAGAGAGAGAGAAAGAGAGAGAGGAGGAATCAGAAAGGCGAGATTCCCTTAGAAACGGACCCTCTGCAAATGACTGACATTTTGAGTCAATATTGACTTGGAAATCAAAATTCCAGCTCCCTTCACAACCTGGGAGTCGACCAAATCCCAGATGAACATAAATATAAACGGAGGCATTCGCCCTGCTACCTTCCTTTCGGTATCTGCAGTCTGGGCCTGGGGTGGGAGGCAACAGGCTGAGCTAGGGGGACCCTCCTGGTAAAACAAAGGAGCTTCAGGGGTTCAGAGTTGTCTCATCACTGGAGCTCCCGGGCGGGCATGGGGAGCAGTGCCAAAAAGGCAGAGGAAAGAAAAAGGACAAAACACAAATCCAGACAAGCACTTGCCATGGCTTACACGGCCAGCCAAGGGAGACGAAGACTGTTCAGCAGCAAAGAGCATTTTCTGTTCTTCCATCCAGAAAAATGGAACCTCAAATCCAAAGCTGACTTCCGGTGCCCACTCTCGACCCCACGACACACTACACACACCCCTTTATACTCATGGGGACTTGATTTAAATTCTGGGACTTCATTTAAATTCTCCACTTTCCAAAGGGGCAAACCTGTAAATGGACTCATTTTAACTACACGCCCTCCTCCTCCTGCCAACCCTGCCAATTGAATAGTTTTCCTTCCGGCAGGCGAAGTTCAGTCATGTGGAAACAATAAATGCCACCTTCGGATAATGGCGTGCGTAGCTACTGAGCCAGGAAATCAGCTCATGCTTATTTCAGAGAGTTTGTAGAGTGATGCCGGCCTGGGGCATGAGTCCTGCCACACGAGTACATTTCAGCATGGCCGGGAAAGTGGAATTTAGCATCTGAGTTCAGAAAGTTTACAACCACAATGGGCTGTGTTTCCTGTGTAGAGATGGTCTACAGAGTGTGGGCAGCATAGCACTGCTAAATGTTTCGGTGGTGCATTAGGAGAGAGAGGAAGTCAAGGGTCTTGGTCAAGGTCAAGGTCAAACTCAAGGTCAAGGAGATCCTTCCAGGAGATCCCTCTGATTTTTCAAGCAGAGATAACTACTCTGTTTTGTCAATGCACAGACATCAGCCAGAAAACGTTCGGCTCATCCTGACTAGTATCTCCCAACGCTTCAAGTAAGAGGAAATCTGTTGGGCGTGAATGTCCTCAAGGCTCACCCCAGCGGCTGAGCCTGCTGGGCTTTCTCTGAGTGAAGGAATAATAATTTTGAGCAAAGGCAGAGCTATGAGCCAAGGAGAAGAGTTGCGCGTGCAAGAACCGGATACAGCCAGCTTGGAAACTGCTCTTCCAGCTGACTTCCAGGAGGCTTACACAAACAGGGTTGGGTCTATTTTCCAATACACGCTCCATGGCATTCTCACGGGACCACATCGGTTCAATAGAGGGAAGGAGAGAAACACAGGGAGTATCGCAAGTGGGCTGGAGAAGCGAGAATGTTCTCTTGAGCACCTCGCATTTGGATGAAGGAGGTGGGTGCTGTGTATGGTAAAAGGGGGCTCTAGGGCCGGAGAGATGGGTAGTGCAGTGTGGGTAGGGCACTTGCCTTGCATGCAGCCAACCCAGGTTCCATCCCTGCCGCCATATATGGTCCCTGAGCCCCACCAGGAGTGATCCCTGAGCACCACCAGGAATGTCCCCCCAAAATTTTATTTTAAAAGGCAGAGAGCAGGAGATGCATCCCAAGCAGCTAAGATTTATGGAATCACTGGTCCCTGCAACATTCGGGGTACCTATGGGAGGCAGGGGTGCTGAATGCCCACTCACCCACACCCCACCACTATAGCCATACCAAGGACTCAATTCCACCCATTCACAAAGATACTCTGCAGATGCCAAACTACGAATAATTCCAGGTATCCAAAATCCAGGTTGAGAACTCTAGTGGTTTTTTTTTGGAGTTCCCTACTGCCCCCCCAGCCTCTCATACTTCCAGAAGCCCTAGAAGCCACGCCCACTTCTCACAGTCACTACCATGTTGAACACAATGGCCCAGACCATAAGATCTTGAAGTTTCTGGGCCACGTGGCCACATATGCAGTCACAGGACACCACATAAAGCAACAAACAGCTTAAATTCTTAGACAAGGACTTAAGAACCCTGCTAATCAGGTATTAGCCATCTTCACATAAACAAATTTTCTTTACTTATTGATTTGAATATCACAGCTTTGTTATCTAATCAATGTTATCTAATCATTCAGAATAATTAGGAGGGTGCACTCCCTTTGGAGGTAGCTGTGTCTGTGGGCTGTGATTACTGTGTCATGAACAGCACCCAGGAAAAAGATTTAGCCGAAAGATTTGAAAATATGTCTGAAACTAATTGAATGCTGTAAATCATATTGACTCATATGGTTACTGAAAACTGATTTGCTAAGGGACTCATTTCTTGGCTAAAAACGACAATTTCCTATTGCCTCTCAAAGGCCAGTCTTCCCTGAGTACGTCATAAAAATGTCGACTTGCCTGGATGATTCAAAATGCCCTTCCAAAATGTACACGTTTAGCAAGATGAGGCTGTTCAGAGAAGTGATGGTTTATCATAAAGCCATTCCGATTCCCTTCAAATGTGGGCGGACATGGAAAGCCCATTAGCCATGTAGCCAAAGAAACCCACACATCTGGGTCTACACTGAAATGCACAGTGGATGTTTCTGAATGACGAGATTACCAGCGAGTTCTTCCCCTTTGGACACTTCCCTATGTTGAAGAACGTGACTTACTTTCCAAAAAGGGGAGTTGGGGGAGAGAGACAGACAGACACATACAGACACACAGACACATACACACAGAGAGAGAGAGAGAGAGAGACATACACACAAACACACTGAGAGACAGACAGACACACACACTGAGAGAGACAGACAGACACACAGATACACAGAGAAAGAGAGACAAACAGACACACACAGAGACAGACACACACACTGAGAGAGATAGAAATACACACACACACTGAGAGACAGACATACAGAGAGAGACAGACACACAGAAATAGACGCAGAAAGAGAGACAGATTATGACATACAAACACACATACACATACAGAGAGACAGATACACAGATACACAAAGAAAGAGACAGACAGACAGAGACAGACAGACATAGAAACACAGAGAGCAAGAGCGAGACAGAGACAGAGAACAGAGAGAGAAGTGCCTGCCATAGAGGCAGGGGTGGAGAGGGAAATGGGGACACTGGTGCTGGGAAAGGCACACTGGTGAAGGGACGGTGTCGGAACACTGTATGACTGAAACCCAGTCATGAACAACTTTGTAAGTGTGTATCTCATGGTGATTCAATTCGAAAAAAATAAATGAAAAAAAATGTCTTAAAACATGTGACTTACTCTCTGTCCACTTGACATGCAGGGAACAGACAGAATGCAGTTTATCCAACATTTCATACACAGGACTTCGCTCTCCCTGAAAATGGTTATGACATCTTGAAAAAGAAAAAAAAAGGACAGGTCATGTTTCCTTTGTCATGGAAAATTGAGAGAAAAAGCATTACCCATACACACTCGTTGGTGAGACTTATTCTATCTGCCTGAAACTTTATCTCAAAAAATTTATTATCGGGGGCCAGAGCAACGGTTAGGGGAGATGTCTCCATCTTGGCCCATCACCTGGACCCAGACATCTCCAGGGGCAGGAGGTAGAGTGAGAGACACGACCTGCCTCCCCCTGCAGGGTGGAGGGAGTTTTCCCAGAAGTGTTGATGACTCCAGGAAGGAAGGGGCCTGTGCAGCCCCACAGAAACAGAAACCCTGCAGGGCCCACGCGAGGGGTGTGGATGGAAGGCAGGACAAGCCCGAGACCCCGAGACCATGGGTTTCCGAGCCAGCTTTATACTGGGCTGTACCCTGCCAACACTTGATCGAACCCGGGTCAGCTGCATGCAGGGCAAACGCTCTACCTGCCGCGCTATGCCTTTGGCCCCTGATTGTAGGTTTGAAGACAGTCTTAAGCACTGCCCCTCCTTAGCCCCAGGTATAGAACAAAGAGGACACTAGGTTCTCCCTGGAAGCATTTCTCGCATTCCATGGAGGGTCTTGATTGGCAGCGAAGAAAGATTTACAGAGGGCCTGGGAGGGTCACGAGGCTTCAGGAAGTCACTTCTCCCAGCTAGACTAGAACATGAATTCAATTTCCTCACCCTTTGAATGCAGACAGAGTTCATCCCTCCCCTCCCCCCAGTGACTCACTGGACAACTCGAGAACTGTCATGGCAGCTAGCACTGTTAGCACTGTCCTCCCCCTTGTTCATCGATTTGCTCGAGTGGGTACCAGTAACGTCTCACAACAAATTGTGAGATTTGTTGTTTCTGTTTTGGGCATATTGAATAAGTCACGGGTAGCTTGCCAGGCTTTGCCATGCAGGCGAGATACTCTCAGTAGCTTGCTGGGCTCTCCGAGAGGGGCGGAGGAATCAAACCTGGGTCAGCCATGTCGGCCGAGTGCAAGAAAAACGCCCTATCTGCTTGCTATCGCTCCAGCCCCATGGCAGCTAGTTTTAGGAGATTTTTACTTTGATGGGTCGGAGCAGGTCGGGCCTCCTCCTTTACCTCCCTCTTTCCCTTCTCTGCCTTTTTTGCTGCTGCTGCTCTTGTTCGGGATTTGTTTTGTTTTGGTCTTATTTGGGGGTCACCCAGTGATGCTCAAGGCTGACTCCAGGCTCTGCTCTCAGGGATCACAGCTGGCAGTGCTCTCGGGGACTCTGTGGGGTGCTGGGAATTGAACCCAGGCCAACTGCATTCAAGGAAGTACTCTACTCCACTGGTGCTAAAATCAAAGTGGGTGGGCCATGGCACTGTGGTTGAACAGTCCCTCACTGTCCCCCCTGAACTCCCCAAGAGTGAGCTCGCAGAGGAAGGGTGCTGGGACAGCTTCAGAGAAGTTCTTTTCCTGAAGCTTGCCACAAATATGAGGATGTGTGGGTCAAAGGGCAGTTAGGATAGAGAAGGGAACAGTATGACAATAATAATTAGAAACCATCACTCTGTTTTTGTTTTTGTTTTGCTTTTTGGGTCACAGCCAGCGATGCTCAGGGGTTACTCCTGGCTCTGCACTCAGGAGTTACACCTGGCGGTGCTCAGGGGACCATATGGGATGCTGGGAATCGAACCCGAGTCAGCTGGGTGCAAGGCAAACGCCCTACCCGCTGTGATATCTCTCCAGCTCCAGAAACCATCACTCTGGATAAGAAACCGAGTGTTGAAAGTGGGTGGGTAAAGGCGTATGTCTGATAAACTTTCAGTACCTGTAAATCATAGGGTGGAGCAACAGCACAGCAGGTAGGGCGTTTGCCTTGCATATGGCCAACCCAAGTTTGATTCCTCCATCCTTCTTGGAGAGTCTGGCAAGCTACCAAGAGTATCTCACCCGCATGGCAAAGCCTGGCAAGCTACCCGTGATGTATTCGATATGCCAAACACAGTAACAAGTCTCACAATTTGTTGTGAGATGTTACTGGTGCCTGCTCGAGCAAATCAGTGAACAGCGGGAGGACAGTGGTCAGTGCTACAGTGCTACCTGTAAACCATAATGTCCTGCAAACCAAAAAGAGAGTGAACAAGAGAAAGAAAGAGAGAGAGAGAGAGAGAGAGAGATGCCTGCCATAGACACAAGGGGGTGGGGGTGGGTGGGAGGGAAATTGGAAACTCTGGTGGTAGGAAATACACACTGATGAAGGGAAAGAAACTGATGTTGAAACATTATGTGACCAAAACCCAATCATGAACAACTTTGTAACTGTGTATCTCACAGTGATTCCATTTAAAAAATAAATTATTTTTTTTTAAAAACCACAAAACTAAGTTCTTTCCCCCAAGCCACCCACCTTCCGTACTCAACGTGCGGAGCCAGAGCCAGGGTGAAGCTTACAACTCACCAGCAGCCTTCCATTGCTGTCTCATGCCGTCTGGGGAGAGAAATTTCAACTTCTGGAGCAGGGTGGTAATAGGCTAATTGGTACTTTACCGAGGAAGACACAGCCGACTGGCACAAATGTGCACTATCTCTGACTTCTCCATCTTCTGCTCTCCAGAGGGCACAGCGAAACCGAGACCTGCTGCCCCCTCTCGGGAAACAGAATGAGTGTGGGTGGAGAGGGGGCACGTGGAGGGCACTGCAGGAAGGCGCCCTTCTTTTTGGTTTCCTCTAGACAATTAACCTTGCTATTCAACACACTGCATAGTTTTCAGACTCCTTTCGATCACTGAACAGGAAGATGTAATATTTAATGATATTTCTCTCCCTCAACCCTCCTCCACGATTTGCCATGTGCTAATGAACTGCATTTGGCAGGAAGGGGAGGGGAGTAGCTGATCCATATCCACAAGTGGTTCCAAATACTCCTAAGGAAATCGATCAAGGTTTAAAGGGGGGAGGGGGCGACGGTTGGACATCGCCCCACCGATTCATGCCTCGGGAAACAAAAGGGAACTGCTATTCCCTCACATCAGCAGTGAACCACCCTACCCCCAACATTTTAATATTTGTCATGGAATAATTAAGAGGTAGCAGGATTGGCCTCTGAAGAGTTTCATTTCATGGAATTCTCACGCAGACCCAAGACCCCTTCCCTGGGCTATAGCTGAAGACTCTGGGGGCAGAGCAAGGGCACTCACCTTGCAGGTGACCAACCTGGGTTCGAATCCTCCCCCGAGACCCAGCAGGCGTGAATCTGAGCACAGAGCTGGGGGTCGACCCTGAGCTGTGCGTGCCAGAAGGAGGTCCCACCCCTCCCCTACCTCCAAGCATTACCCCTGGAGTCCTGTGGGCATTGGAAATCTCCCACTGATCAGAGAACCTTTACCGAAGGCCATTGTCGGGGTGGGAGTGGGGATGGGAGAGGGTGATGAGGCAGACTCTACATTCCCTGGAGAGATCCCCAAGCAGACACACCCCCCGAGAGGCCCCCCCTCAATGGCTCCGCTCCCCAACACAGCCCCACTTGTGCCTGCTGAGTTCAGGCTCTGCCACTGAGCAGACACACGTGTTTTCCCAGTTGGTTTTGTTTTGTTTTTGTTTTAGCTCCTGACAGGGCTCAGGCTGCTTTGCACGCGGTAATCTCTCCACTTCAGGCACACAAGCAGTGAAAAATTCCGTTCGATGTCAAAGATCATTTCGAGATCCAAGAGGAAAACAGCCAGGAACCAGCTAGAAAGATGGGCTGGGGGGGGGGGGGGGCACAGGAGGAAACAGAGAAAAGGAATGCAAAACTTCTTTACATTCTGCAAAACTCCTGGATAAAAGAAATGAATGGGGCTGCGGCGATGGCACAGTGGGTAGGGGTGTTTGCCTTGCACAATTCCCAGCATCCCATAGGGTCCCCTGAGCACCGCCAGGAGTAATTCCTGAGTGCAGAGCCAGGAGTAACCCCTGAGCATCACTGGGTGTGACCCAAAAAGCAAAAAAAGAAAAAGAAAGAAAGAAAGAAAGAAAGAAAGAAAGAAAGAAAGAAAAAGAAAACCAGTGACGGGCCAGGCCACATGTAGGGGTCCATCAAGAGAGCCTTTTATCTATGCATACAGAAAGACATTGGGTCAAAGGGGGGAAAACACTCCTTGGTCACCAATGGAAGCCCAGGAACCAAATCATCCTTCTGGAAAAGGGGTAACTCAAGCTCTTGCCAAGTCCTTTGTGAGCCAAAATAAAACAAAACAAAAAATAAAACACCTGCTGAAAAAAGGAAGGACATTTCCCCTGGGAGAACTTTCCCTACCCCACATGAAAAGCAAATGATGCAATGTAGATGCCGAATTTTTTCTTTATTTTTTTCTCTTTTTTTTTTTGGCTTTTTGGGTCACACCCAGTGATGCACAGGGGTGACTCCTGGCTCTGCACTCAGGAATTACTCCTGGCGGTGCTCAGGGGACCCTATGGGATGCTGGGAATCAAACCCGGGTTGACCACATGCAAGGCAAACGCCCTACCCACTGTGCTATTGCTCCAGACCCATGGAATGCCACATTTGAACCTGTCATGTGGCTATGGAGTTTGAGGAGGTGGCAGAGGTGGACGGGGAGGGGAAAAGGGGCAGACCCCATCTCAAGGCTGTGGCTTCTCTCCTCCCACTTCACATCAGTCTTCTACCCTCCCGCTACCTCTGCCCCCACCAGCATCACTGCAAACACTGTTCCTCAATCCTGCAGCCAACCACTGTCTGAACAACCCAGCCGGCAGGCCTCAGCCCCGGGCCTGGTGGTGTGGAAAAGGGAATATTTCAAACAGGATCAAGGCACTTGCTCAGACCGAACCTCCCCCTAGGAGAGCTTGTGGGGGACGAAGAGGCAATAGAGGAACAAGCTAAGCTCGGCCTCCCCTGCCAGGACAGGCGCCCGCTTGGTGCGGAGGAGCCCGGGGCCGAGGCCTCGCTCCACTCCATGTACCGACAGTTTATCCGTCATGCACGCAGAGCTGAATTTACATAAATTAAAC